CGCGCCATATCGGAACCCGGGTATGGTGTTAAATGAGCAAGGGCCAGGTCGTCACCCCCATGAAGCGCCGTGTCGCGATCTGGGCATGGTGTCAAGTGAGCAAGGATCGGGTCGTCACATCCTTAGTGGCGCGCTACATCGGCGTCCGGGTGTAGTGAAAAATGAGCAAGGGTCTTCACATCTGAGTCGATGGGTGCGAAGGGTAAGGAAGCTAGTCGAACCAACTAGGATCCATTTAGGTAGTTGGAATATAGGGTCTCTTACAGGTAAGTTAAGAGAATTAGTTGATACCGTGACTAAGAGGTGTGTAAATATATTATGTGTTAAAGAGACTAAATAGAAGGGTCAGAAGGCGAAGGAGGTGGACAATACATGTTTCAAGCTTTGGTACACAGGGACAGTCGTGAATAGAAATGGAGTAGGAGTTTTGATTGATATGAGCCTCAATAATAGTGTGGTGGGAGTAAGAATGCAAGGAGATAGGATTATCTTAGTCAAGCTTGTCATTGGTGATATGGTCTTGAACATAATTAGTGCGTATGCCCCCCAAATAGGCCTTGACGAGAGTGCTAAGAGACAGTTTTGGAAAGACTTAGAAGGCCTGATTAGAGCTGTACCTAGTAGTGAGAAGCTTTTTATAGGAGGAGATCTTAATGGGCATGTAGGTACTACAAGCGAGGTTTCGAGGCAGTTCATGGAGGTTTGGGTATGGTAGTAGGAATCAGGAGAGGGAGGAAGTTCTAGACTTCGCGGTAGCTTTTGACCTGATGATAGCCAACACTTTCTTTAGAAAGAGAGAATCTCATCTAGTGACCTTCAGTAGCGGACAACACTCTAGTCAGATTGACTTTGTCCTCGTAAGAAGAAAGGACAAACGAGCATGCTTGAGTTGCAAGGTGATACCAGGGGAGTGTGTTGTTTCTCAACATAAGCTTTTTGTGGTAGACTTTCGTTTTGAGGTGCGTGCCCGTAGGGATAAACAAGCTAAGATTGAAAGAACAAAGTGATGGAAACTGAAAGGGGAGACGTCAGAGGTATTCAGAGAAAGGGTTATTAAAGAGGGCTCTTGGAAGGAAGAAGAGGACATAAACAACATGTGGGAGAAGATGGCAACCAACATCCGAAAGGTGGCCTTAGAGGTGTGTGGAGTAACCAAAGAAAGTGGAGGCGAGGCTAAAGATACTTGGTGGTGGAACGAGGAAGTCCAAAGGGCTATTAAAGAGAAGAAAGAATGCTATAGATGCTTGTACCATGACAGGAGTGTGGACAACATAGAGAAGTATAAGGTGACAAAGAAGACTGCAAAGCGAGCTGTAAGTGTGGCAAAGGGTAGAGCGTACGAGGATCTTTACCAACATTTGGGTATGAAGGAAGGAGAGAAGGACATTTATAGGATGGCTAGGGTTCGTGAGAGAAAGACAAGGGACTTCAACCAAGTTAAGTGCGTTAAGGATGAAAGGAAGCATCTCTTGGTGAAGGAGGATGAGATCCGACATCGATGGCAAGATTATTTTGACAAATCGTTCAATGGTGAGAATACGGACACAACCTTTCAGTTGGATGACTCTTTTGATGACACCAATAGGCGCTTTGTGCAGAGAATCCAAGAATCTGAGGCCAGAGAGGCGTTGAAAAGGATGAAAGGAGGTAAGGCGATGGGACCGGATGGTATCCCAATCGAGGTGTGGAGATGTCTCGGGGACATAGCTATAGTATGGCTAACCAAGCTGTTCAACCATATTTTTTGATCGAAAAAGGTGCCTGACGAGTGGAGAAGAAGTATATTGGTACCGATCTATAAGAATAAAGGGGATATTCAAAGTTGTACTAATTACTGGAGAATTAAGTTGATGAGCCATACTATGAAGCTATGGGAGAGAGTTATCGAGCATCGCTTGAGAGCAATAACGCGGGTCTCAATGAACCAATTTGGTTTCATGCCCGGTAGGTCAACCATGGAAGCAGTTTTCTTAATAAGACAAGTTATGGAGCGGTATAGGGAGAAGAAGGACCTACACATGGTTTTTATTGACTTGGAGAAGGCTTATGACAAAATACCAAGGAATGTTATGTGGTGGGCTTTGGATAAATATAAAATCCCAACAAAGTACGTCGGGCTCATTAAGGACATGTACAACAATGTTGTGACTAGTGTTCGAACAAGTGATGGAGACATGAATGACTTCCCGATTAGGATATGACTACATTAAAGGTCAGCTTTGAGCCCTTATCTGTTTGCCTTAGTGATGGATGAGGTCACAAGGGACATACAAAGGGACATCCCTTGGTGTATGCTTTTCGCGGATGATGTAGTGCTAGTTGATGAAAGTCGGACAGGAGTGAATCAGAAACTGGAGTTATGGTGGGAGACTTTGGAGTCTAAAGATTTTAGACTCAGTCGAACTAAAACTGAGTATATGAGATGTGACTTCGGCACTACTACTCGGGAGGAGAAAGATATTAGTTTGGAAGGTCAAGTTGTGCCTAGGAAGGATACCTTTCGATATTTAGGATCAATGCTATAAAGAGACGGGGATATTGATGAAGATGTTAGCCATAGAATCAAAGCAGAGTGGATGAAGTGACGCCAAGTATCTGGTGTCCTATGTGACAAAAGGGTACCACATAAGCTAAAAGATAAGTTTTATAGGACGGCGATTAGACCTACTATGTTGTATGGTGCAGAATGTTGGCCTACGAAAAGACGACATGTTCAACAGATAAGTGTCGCGGAAATACGTATGTTGCGTTGGATTTGCGGTTATACAAGAAGGGATCGAGTTCGGAACAATGATATACGTGATAGATTAGGGGTAGCACCAATTGAAGAAAAGCTTGTCCAACACCGGTTGAGATGGTTTGGACATGTCCAACGGAGACCTCTAGAGGCGCCGGTGCGTAGTGGAATCCTAAGCTAGGATAGTAACGTGAAGAGAGGCAGAGGAAGACCGAAGTTGACTTGGGTAGAGGCAATAAAAGGAGACTTGAAATAATGGAATATACCCAAAGACTTAGTCTTAGATAGAAGTGCTTGGAAAACAGCTATTCACGTGCCTGAACCTTGATTGCTTCTGTTGGGTTTCAACTCTAGCCTACCCCAACTTGTTTGGGACTTAAAGGCTTTGTTGTTGTTGTTGTCGTCGTCGTCTCATATGGTTTCATAAACTATATGAGATATGTAAGTTTTGTGAACAATGTTACTATCACTTTATCGGACGAAGAAATGACGAAAATAAAAGTTGTAGGTCTTGATGAGTTCTACAACGTTTATGTTCATAACTTTTTGAGTTCAAGTTATTTGGTGTCTCAAAGTTTTGTTTGAATGTATCATTTATTGAAATTCAAATTTTGAATTATTCAAATTTAGTCACATAAAAATATAACCAAAACAAAAGTTGTAGATATTGATGAGTTATACAATTTTTATATTCATGACTTTTCTAGCTGAAATCATTTACTCTTTGAAAATGTTGTTTGAAGTTGCCATTTTATGAAATTCAAAATTTGAATCATTCAAACAAAGTCTTATGATAAGATAATCAAAATAAAAGTTGTAAATCTTGATGAGTTTTACAAATTTTATGTTTACAACATTTTCATTTTAGTCATTTTCTGACTTAAAATTCAATTCGAAGTTCAAAAATTCAAATTTTTAATTGTTAAATATTTTTTTTATTTTTAAAAAAAGAAAAGGTATCATTATATATATATCTGCAAGTTGTTTTTTATGTGTATGGGCAAATATAGCAAATTATTTTTAATACATTTATACATTTATAAAAAAATATGCAGAACTAATATTTAAAAATACAAAAATATTTGTAGGGGCGGCTCGTATCACCAGCCGCCCCTACTGGCCTCGTGGGACCCCGGCGGGGCACTGTAGGGGCAGCTGCAGAGTGAGCCGCCTCTACCGAGAAAAAAAGATGCCGTTGCTACAAACTAGTTTTGTAGTAGTGCCCTAACCTCTTCCAAACCCTTATTATGTTCCTCTTACATCTCTACAATGTTTGAGAACGCCCTAGCTAGCCCGCCGGCACTAAGACAACCTAAAGTGCGATTGTCCTAGCGGAGTCCCTCCTAGACGAGCTGAGGCCATGTTTAGTTCCACCAAATTCCCAACTTTGACACTATGCAAAAAGAAGATTCTCCGTCACATCAAACTTGCGGTACATGCATGGAGTACTAAATGTTGATGAAATCAAAAACTAATTGCACAGTTTGGTTGTACTTTACGAGACGAACGTTTTGAGCCTAATTAGTCAACGATTGGACAATTATGTACAGTGATTTCGCAGACGAACGTTTACGAGACGAACGTTTTGAGCCAAATTCCCAACAGTGTAGCTACCGTGATTTCGTCGGCGCCGAATCGGCCGAACTAAACACGGCCTGAGCTCTCTTTGGTTTGATGAGCCTGTCAAAATCGGACAAGCTACTTTCTGTGACCATGCATACACGCCGGTATTCGCAGAGGCGTTACAACACGCGCCTCGGCGAGTTGCACCTAATGACCTAAACATGCTTGTGTGATGGGGGTATTTTCGCGTGAAGACCTCGTCTATTCACGTGTTAACATCACATACACGCAAATATAGAGACGTGAACTTTCGTCTGCGATGGGGGAGCACGTAATTACCTTTTCTTTTTTTGAGCTAGCTAGTGGAGAGCACCCGATGGATGGATGTGCTGCGGAAAATGGCCTTGTTGGAACGGTCAAGAGTGTAGGGGTATGCTGCAACCTGCAACTGCGTCGTGACGTCGCGGGGGCCATGCATGCATGGGACGACGTTGACCTGACGTGTGCCGCGCGCCCGCGCATGCCTATAAAACCCGCAGCCCAGCGAGCTGTCTTCCTCGCCGTGGAGTAGAGGAGCACAACAAGTGAACTAGCTCATCTAGCTACCAGGCCACTGCTGCCTCCGTCCTCATCACGCACGTCGTCGTGCTAGTACTAGCTAGTAATCAGGCGTGCCGGGCCGGGGACATCAGCGGCAGCCATGGGCGTGGGGAAGGTGATGAACGACGTGAAGCCGTACCTGGCGATGGTGCTGCTGCAGGTTGGGTTCTCCGGGATGTACATCCTCTCCGTCGCCTCCCTCAAGCGCGGCATGAACCACTTCGTCCTCGTCGTCTACCGCAACCTCGTCGCCACCGTCGTCATGGCCCCCTTGGCCCTCATCTTCGAGAGGTACCACTACTAGTAATCATGGTGCATGTATAACCGTCGTAGGTTCTTTAGTTTCTCCTAATGTCGTCCTCGTGTTGCTAATTCATAGACGATGGTGATGTTATTTCGTTAATTGCAGGGGAGTGAGGCCCAAGATGACGCCTCTCATCTTCCTCAAGATCATGGGGCTTGCCGTGCTCGAGTATGTGCCCCGGTCGCCATGCTTGCAAACCTGCAGTGAACAATGCAGAGGAAAATCTGCTGTTCTGCTAACGTGCATTATATTCATGCGTTTCAGGCCAGTGCTGGACCAGAACATGTACTACCTCGGCGCGAAGCTGACCTCGGCCACCTTCGCCTCGGCCCTCGTCAACATCCTCCCGGCCATCACGTTCCTGATGGCGCTCGTCATGCGGATGGAGAAGCTGAGGCTCCGGAGCCTCCGCAGCCAGGCCAAGGTCGTCGGCACAGTCTGCACCGTCGCCGGCGCCGTGCTGATGATCCTCTACCACGGCCCCGTGGTGCCGTTCCCGTGGTCCGCGGGCCACCACCACGCCGCCGCCGCCGCGGTGGAGAGCCAGAGCAGCGCCTCCTGGCTCAACGGCACCGTCATGATTATTGGCAGCTGCCTGTGCTGGTCCGGCTTCTTCATCCTCCAGGTACGAGCAATCGAGTACGACACGGCCACCGCGCGCGCGCGCACTGACTCCATGATGCATTGCGTAACTAAGGAGAGGCAGCATGGCGAGGCATCAGGCGCTAACACTAACAGCATCCCTATGCAGTCGAACACGCTGCAGAGCTACCCTGCGGAGCTGACGCTGGCGACGCTGATCTGCTTCCTCGGCTCTGTGCTGACCGGCGGGGTGGCGCTGGTGGCGGAGCGCCACGACATGAGCGCCTGGGTCATCGGTTTCGACACCCGCCTCTTCACCGCCGTCTACTCCGTAATCAATCCATCCTTACCTGACTAAACTAACTGCTGTCCAGTAATCTTTTCTTTCGTCACAATAACGACGACGATTCCACGACGAGCTAGCTAGCTAAACTAACCTGCTAATCTGCTGGCGGCGTTCCATTCCAGGGGATCGTGTGCTCCGGCGTGGCCTTCTACGTGCAGGGGATCGTGACGCAGGCGCGCGGCCCGGTGTTCGTGACGGCGTTCCAGCCCCTGGTCATGATCATCACCACCGTCCTGGGCTCCACCATACTCAAAGAGGAGACCACCCTCGGAAGGTAACCTATTCTAATGCCAGTTTACTTACAAGCAGCTACGAGTAGCTGAGCTTCACTGATCGATCGATCGAGTGACTGTTCAAAAAAAAAAAGATCGATCGAGTGACTTCACTTGCTGATTAATTAACTAACTCCTTTCTTTCCCGGCCTTGTGGTTACAGCGTGATTGGCGCGGTGATCATAGTGGTGGGGCTCTACTGCCTCATCTGGGGCAAGAGCAAGGACCACCTCGGCAACGGCAAGCCCGGCGCCGCTGCCGTCGCCGGCGAGCTGCCCCTGACCTCGGCTCCCGCGGCCAACGGCAACGGTTACGGCAAGCACGCCGCGCTCGGCGGCGGCCACCATGTCACCAGCGGCGTCGAGACACCGCCACGGTCTGTGCCCAAGTGCGTTCACTGACGACGCGGATCGAGCTCCATGATGCATGACGACTACTTCCGACTGTTCACCGCACACTAGCAGTGCATTGCCACTTTGCCAGTGGCTGTAAGCCTGTATGATCCTGAAGGAACTTAATTGAGTTGCTCTGCTCTCGTAGAGACGGGGACCGATGCCGATCGTTGCGTTAACGACTTTAATTTTGATTTGATGTAGTAGCTCTCGTCGTTGCTCTGCTCTGCTGTGCCACCACCACTAATACTACAATCTTTGTTTAGTTTGTGCGAGAAGAAGAGAATTATTCTAGTCTGCACGCTGCATGCATTTGATTCTCATCAGTGATCGATCAGCTGTCCAGTTGATGCGTTCGCCGCCCCGTTACATCCAGAATCCGATCGTATATCCAAAGCGGGTGCTGCCGCCCCCTTGGAATCTGCAACGTAGTACAGCCGTCACCATCACTCCATCAGCTTTCCTTCCGCCTTCTGAACGCTACGCGCATGATTCATGGCTTTATTGGCTTAGTGCCTGATGACACTGATCGGACAATCCGGCCTCCTGCTGTCCTGTGTTCTGTGTAGGACAAATATAATCCCAGTTGGTCTCTGTCTCTAATAATAGAAACTTTCATGTAATAAATAAATATATAAGCTAAATGGAAGTAGGTAGCTTTTGGTAACCGGTGAATTGTACGTCGTATTGATCACTCATAGCCCAGAAGAATTGGGGTGGCGGATGGGAGGTGCAGGAAGCTTTCTGGCTTGTGATTTTTGATGCAGCAAGATTTGCATCTCTCTTCCGGACTGGTGGCAGGAAGGAAAAGCAGGATGCATCCTGTCCAGAAAGCACTCCAAAAATATCTCAAAAGTTAGCTATAGCTTAAGGACATTCAAATGGTCCACGGCGTAGGGATTCGTTGGTTTTGCTTAGCATCATAAGAATACGTTGTTTCATCTGAAATAGCCATAAACAAATATAGTTAATCATTTCTAGCTCAGAGGGACGGAAAAAATTACATTTTAGATCTTTTTGGTTTAGAAAGCCAACGCCCCCCCCCCCCCCCGCGCGGAATTTGAACGCTACTGTATTTGGTTGGAGGCCAAATTTTGGCGGGTTCCCAGTTCACACAAAATTTGGCCTACCCAACCATATCCATAGAATCAGATCAGTGGAGGTGTTTTGCGCTGGATTTGCTCGCTTTAATTTGGCTCTGCAGCCAAAGGGATGCAAGTATTACATGGCAGCAGGCAAATAGGTCTAGCTAATTAAGGCCCCCTTTGGCAGGGATTCGAGTGATCCAGCTCCTTCACTATGTGTGCACTGTAGCCGGAGCTATTGGAGCTATAAAAACTAGCTTCTTCAGCTCTGTGAGAGGGAGGGGGAGGAGAATGAGAAATGGATTCTGTGAACCGTGCCTGTACAGTGCTGCTACAACGTCGTTGTCAGGAGTAACCGGAGGCCTTGTTTAGTTGGAGCCCAAAATCCAAAAAGTTGCTATAGTATCTGTCACATCGAATGTTTGCGGCCCGTGCATGGAACATTAAATGTAGACAAAAATAAAAACTAATTGCACAGTTTGGTGGGAAATTGCGAGACGAACGTTTTGAGCCTAATTAGTCCATGTTTGAACACTATTTGCCAAATAAAAACAAACGTGCTACAGTTGCCCCAAAATCCAAATTCACCCAACTAAACAAGGACGGAGCTAGGGAATCTGTACCAAAGGGCATAGTTGCTGCATGACAACATTCAAATGAGTACGGTTCGTGAATGATGACTTTAATTAGCATGCATTTCTGATTGCAGTATTGTATTCGCTTTGATTTAATTTACATTGACTATGTTTTGATGTCAAATTTTTTCACAACACGTGGGACCCGCTTGTAGTTACTACTCACAAGTCACAACCCAACATCAATGGACGCATTTGGCCCTTGCTGGGTCAGATTTTGGCTTGGCCTACCGAGGACACGAACCAAACGGCCTAATGTGCTCATCATAGCACTGCTGTCTAGTACAATGGGCAGATCCAATCCTGCTCGAAAGTCGAAATCGTAGAAATATATGCCCCTGGTTGGGTGATATGATGCCTTGGGGATGCCTAGCGCGGCTAGCGCAACGTAGCATATGATACTTCCACCGTCTAAAAAATACTAAGGACTCAAACAATTTAAATTTTAATTAAAGTTATATAAAAGATAATAACATTTATTAAATTAATTATAAAATTTATTTTCTTAGTAAATTTTATTGGAGCACAAATGTTACTACTATATCTTATAGACTTGTTCAAACTTAAACTAGTTTGACTGACATAAATTTTATAGTTATATTCTTTTATGGCAGAGAGAGATCAAACAAGTGCAGGAGGTGACCAGGATCCAAGGATAAAGCCGACAAGGATCCCAGTGCATGGAGGGTCCAATGATGAAGTTGACATGGATCTCACTGACATCTACGGTAAAGATTTTGTTGGATTTTAGGGCTTGGCTCATTTCTATTCAATTAAAATTAAATAAATCCTCAAGCTCATACTAAATGTTAGGGTGCATTAAAGTCTTAGTCTCACATGAGATTTTGATTAAGGTCTATTTGGTTCAACCATGAGCTAAAAAAAAGTTGTTGTGAGTTATGTGTTGTAGAAAAAATGTACCCCGCTTAGTTGAAACAATTATTAAACCTATTCCCTCTCTCCATCTCTCTCTACTGTGAAACATTTCTCTATTTTCACTCATGTGGGAAAACAAAAGGTCGAAAGGTTAAAAGCATGGTCCATAGTGCTGCGAAAATTGTACAAATGCTATGTACAATATAATAACATACTTACCATATGAATAGTAATCATTGCAACATAAGCTGCACTATTATACCCTGGAGTGGGACCAGTACCAGAGCACCGGTGGCTCCTTTCTCACAAGGGATGGATTCGGATCGACCGCATGTGATCGAATACGGATAGCACTATTTTATCATATTTTAATTTGAATTCTGATACTATTACCGGATACAAATACAAAAGGAATGTCCCAAACTCAGATTTACATCTGGATATCTATTAGACTTGAATGATAACACATATCTATTTGCTTGTCAGATAGTTTTAGTAGAACAAAATCATTATGCATGTAGAAAATATGATTATATAACCTCTATAGATAACAACAACTCATAAAACAACATATATAGTAAATGTTTCAATAATTAAATATATCAAAAATAATAAAGTCATTATGCAAGGGTTTGAGTAAATAAAAATAGATAGACTGATTGGTCTCAAAGCTTGATGTAAAACTTGAAAAAACGAGGGGGGTGGCCTGGCCTGAGTGTCTGACTGAAGCTCCACCCGATCACTCCTCAAACTTTCGTTGTCATTTCTCTCGCTGTGCTCCTATGACCCTTTTCCCCGCTGGAGCCTGGAGTCCTGAAGCTCTCCTGACTCCTGAAGTCCTGAGGATGGAGAGGTCGAGAAACTCCTGGTTTGGCTAATTGACGCTCAAGGCTCAACATGATCCATCCATGGACTGGGCCGTCCGTTCCCAGCACATTCCTGTTTTGCTACGTGCCGACGCCGGAGAGATATGAACGAACGAAAAAAAAAAGGCGAGTGGATCATCAGACATACATGGCCCAAAGGTCACTCTCGGAAGGGCCGGCTGTTCGCCCGAGCCATGCATACAGCCATCTCGTTCGTCCTTTTTTTTTAAAAAAAAAGGGGGGTCATCGCGCGCGTTGGTCTCTGGACTTTTTCCTTCGTTTTCCAGGCTTTTGGATATTCATCATCCATTTTGTGATGAGAGGAAGGAACCGAGTGGCCGATCGCTCTCTGGTAAAAACGAAGATGGACACCTGACGAGCGTGATCGTAATCGGAATGGCTGATCGGTGATCGGTGATGGCTCATGCGCTCTTCTTCCCTTCTAGGTTCTAGCAGCTTTCTTTCTTTAGGAAGAGAATGGGATTGACCTACGATTTTTTAAGCCATGATTGGGGTACCCATTAGCCAGGTAGGTGCAGCACGAGAGCCCACAAAAGTCCCGAGTCAAAAGAAAAAGATTATTTTATGAAAAAAAAAACTTTTTAAACCATGAATGTAATCTGTTTCTTCTTCTCAAACTCTAAAATCAGACATCTTACCCTTCATAGACTCTCAAAACCAATAAAATTACTTCCCTGCCTTGGTTTGAAGTGGTTGTGAAGACGGTTTTATCACTTTTTAGTTAAGAAATTTCATAAATATTTGATAAGATTTTTAAGCCATAAAAATATCTATAAGCTTCTAAAAACTATTATAAAAAACCTAGAGATAGATTGGAATATAAAAACACAAATAAAATATTTAGAGCTCGTTGAGATATCTCTAGAATGTTCCAAAAATAAGATTTATGTATAGATAAACGGGAAAAACATTAAGAAAGACCTATTAAATTACCAAAATATTCTAATTGATGTCTAAATGCATTTTGAAAATTTTCCACAACAAAAGCATAAGACACAACCAACATGAATGATAGCATGAATGCATGCATTCATCTTTAGTGAATGTTGCATTAATGATATTGTCATCTCATATTTTTATCGTGGAAAGTTTTTAAAATATATTCGATTATAATGTTTTGAGAATTTTCAAAAAAGAATTTATATTTGTCCATTTTTTTCTAGAGATAAATCTGTTTTTAAGCTTCTGGAGATATTATTCATGAGCTCTAAATATTTTATTTTGGTTTTTTTATGTCCCCATCTATCCCTAGATTTTTTCTTGAATTTTTTATAAGCTTAGAGACATTTTATGGTTTAATGATCTTATAAGGAATTTAATGAAAATTTATATTATAATAAATACGATGAAACGTCTTCAAAACCACTTGAATCCATAGGGAGGTAGTTGAATGGTTTTGAGGGTTTAAGAATAAGATGTGAGGATAAAAATCAAAGTACGTTGTATGTTTTGGGAGGTAAAATTGTTTTTTTCTCATATGCAAAAGAAGGATTGTCTTCCACTCTTTCCTTGCAGTGTACTTCAGG